TTGTTTATTTTATTTTGTATATTTTGTCAATTTTGTTTATTTTATTTTGTATATTTTGTCTAATTTTGTTTATTTTATTTTGTATATTTTGTCAATTTTGTTTATTTTATTTTGTATATTTTGTCAATTTTGTTTATTTTATTTTGTGTATTTTGTCAATTTTATTTGTTTATTTTGTATGTTTTTGTCAACTTTATTTATTTATTTCGCATACTTTATCAAATTTCACTTGTTTATTATGTATATTTTATCAATTTTACTCGTTTATTTTGTATATTTTGCCATTTTCATTTGAATATTTTGCATAATTTGTTAGTTTTATTCTTTATTTTTTTCATTTAATTATTTTATTTGCTTATTTTGTTTTTTTTTTTTGTTTCCTTCGTTCATTCGTCCATTTCAATACCTAAAAAATTTTTCAAAAATTCTTCTTTGTTTTTGTACCTTTTTTTTTTTTAATTCTCTAAATATTGTTTTTTTTTCGAATAATTTCATTTTAATCATTTAACATTTTCTAATCAAACTTCTTTTTCCTACACATATTTGTGAAATTTTTTTGTTTTTCTCAAATTTGCAATAATTTAGAAAAAGTTTTAATTGGTAAACTAAAAAAATAATAAATTTGAATATACTTATATTTTAAATTTAAATGAATTTAAATCTATTCATATTTCATATATTCGTTGTTCATATATTTATAAATATCCAAATAATTTAACTTTAGTTATTAGCTATATTACTTTATAATAGATAAATTGTATAAATTTATCTTTCTATTATTGAAATATTACCTAAAAATTTCAATTACACAATATTTATAAATATATCAAGCAAACGGATTTAACATTTCCAACGACAATTTTCCACTTCATTGAATTCATTTGTAATGAAATCAAGACGTATCATTTGCGACAATAATATAATTTCATTCATACACCTGTTATTAGCATGAATTCATATGACAATAATAATAATAATAATAATAATACTTCTGAATCAAATGTTAATTTTTGAAAATTAATTAACAAATCAGAAATTTAATACATATTTTATGAACTTTTAAGCTATTCCTTGCATTTCGAACATAAATATTAATTACTAATTATCTCAAATGTAATAATCGTTCGTTTTTAAATTGAAAAATTCATAAATTAAATGAAATTTTTTATTCAATAATTATTTACTATTTAGTAAATAATTCTTTTCACTTGTTTGTTATCATTTTGTTACGTTTAAAATAAGCCTAATATAATCATATTATTTCAATTAGTAATTTCATTATAAATTAACTCACACTAACATTAATCAAATTTTTTCCTCCCATAATTAATTAATGATCAGTGTTATGATTCATTCTATGCTATCCCAATTGTTATTTGCCTTCTTCAAAAATCTTTTCCTATCAAATAAGCCTTATTTACTTTAAACTATATGAAATTCAACAATAATTAATTCGAATTTATTTTTTGTATTAAAATTAAAAATTTGAAATGAAAATTAAAAGCAACCAAAAAAAGTATGGATATGTATTTTTTTTAAATTACAATTAAATCATTCATTAAGTTAAAGAAATGCGTATAAAAATTTTATCAGAATTAATTTAATCAAATTAATGATTGTATTTTACAGCCGATTGAACAATCTCGAATCATCAATCAAGACAAGCACCGAAAATCCTCTATTTGGCGATTACGACGAAAAAAGTTGGTTCGGCGAAAGTGGCGTGCCTAATCTGGCACGTGACCCAATCGCGCAATTTCTGGCACTGCTCAAAAAACCTCGAACAATGGGCAACCTGGAAGCCCTTATCAGGTTTTTTTTTCCATTTTTTTTTTTGAATTTTTATTTTCGAATATTTGTCGTGCAAATGGAAATTTCAACAAATCAATTTCTTATTTGATATTACTGAAAAAATAAAAATGATATGCTTAATGGGAAATGAAAAATTTTGAAATTCTACTCATTTCATCGTTTTCTTCTAATTAAATATAATATGCAAGAAATTATTTCAAAACAAAAGAAAAAAAAGCGACTTTTAATGAAAAATTATTATTTTATTGTTTTTTTTTAAATTAATTTTATCTCAAAATTTGACATAAATTTTGTTTGTTATAAACAGTAACAGAAATAAACGTTTTTTTTTTTTGTAAAATCCTAAAAATAAAATTCAAGTGAAATTCTTTTTATCAAAATCCTTTTAAAATTTTTAACATAAAATTTTTCAAAAAAAAGTGATTACATTTTTTGCAAATTTTTATAACTTTTTGTTATAATTTTAAAACTTTCATTTATAATTTTTCAACTGAATAATTTTTATAATTTTCAATTGAATAAAAGAGTAACGAAAATAAGTTTTTTTTTTTGCAAAGTTCTAAAAATAAAATTCAAGTGGAAATCCTTTTATCAAAATCCTTCTAGAACTTTTCAACATAAATGGTAAATAGCTACCACTAATTACCTTAAGTGATAGGTAATTTTTACCTGATTGAGGAATTTTAATAAACACAAATTAATTAGCGAATAAATTAAACAATTAATTGTCATGCACTTTCTCTTACATTCAATTTGCAACGTTTTAACAGTTGATTAATTAATTGATTAACAAATTTTTTTCAAAATTTAACCTGAGGTAAACTGCAAAAAAAAAATTTTTAATTTTTTTAAATTCTAAAAAAAATTCGAAAATTTTCTAAAAAATGTTTAATTCTATTCAAAACTATCAGCATTATATACTTTTATAAAATAACATTGCCATCTGTGACAATCATTGATTGCTTTAAGTCAAATATACAAGATTATAGGTCAAATAGCTGACCTATTATCCTTCCATCAATTGTAAATCTGTCTGATTTCTATCGAATATATACATTAGCATATGAATTAATACAAATTTAATGCAAATTCAAAAATAAATCATAAACTTGTAAAGTTAATTAATATAATTAAGAGGAGACTAAAATAAATGATGAAATGCTGATTGCATGCAAATTTGTTTGCATCTTAGTGTTAATTGCAATCAATGCAAATCTTTTGCAAAATAAGTAAATAAAAAAAAAAAATTATTAAATATTTGAAATTATACCAAATCCTTCGTTAATTTTGAATAAATTTTTTTTTAAAACATCGTCATGCACGACAATAACTTTTATATGCTATTAAGCATACTGCATTCCGGAAACAAACCGGATACCATTTTCCTGACGAAATTAATTACATTATTCGTTTATATTGCTTTCTTCAGCTAAACACTCGATGACTAAAATAAACTTCTCTGAATTTCAATCGACTAGTATACAATTTTTTTTTGGTTTATTTAGTCATTTCTGAAATATTCCCAATCAATTTTGTTTTAATTAATTAACTCTTGTCTTTTATATATTGGAAAACTAATCAATGAGAAGTAAAATTCGATTCTGGAATGTTGTCGGACAATTCAAAAATTGAAAACAAAAAATTTTCCATTTCAAACTTATAATTTCAAATATGACCGACAATTATTAGTGCTTTTTTTTTCAATTTTAATTTTTTCAAGAATAATTTCTAATTCTCTTCTTCTGTTTTGTCTTTTTTTTCTTTGTTTATGAATTAAAAACAAGAAGAAATTGACTTTTGGTGAATTTTTTCATTATCAAAATATGTGATGTGAGAGAAAACGAATTTTCATCATTTTAAAGGATTTGTTGGGAATGAATAAATGAATCATCAGCCAAGAGGATTTCAAATATTTCCCATTAAACTTTTTTACGACATATTTTCAATGATAATAATAATAATAATAATGATGATGATAATAATGATGATAATAGTAATAATAATAATAGCAATAATAATAATAATAGTAATAATAATAATAATAATAAATAATAATAATAATAATGGTGATAATAGTGATAACAGTAATAATAATAATAATGGTGGTGGCAATTGTTATTATTATAAAATCAAATCCTGCTCAGGATTAAAGTGATAATCAAAATGAATAGTGCTGAGGCAAAGGAGGGTGTAGTACAGAGAAATAATTTTAAGAAGGAATTAAAAAAGAAAAATTCTCCAAGAAAATCGAAGAAGTCTTAAAAAAGAAATAAAGAAATCGTTTTTTTTTTTTTACCAACAAAAAAAGTGGTAATCAAAATAAATAAATTTCAAAATAAATAAATTAGATGAAATTCCATCGTCAAGAATAATTTTAATTGAAATAATTTCAAACTAATTGATGCAACTGCTTGAATGCATGTGCAAGGATGCATGCATTCATGCGTGCATGCAAATTCATATATGCAGCAAGTAAAAAAGAAAATTATAAAACAGATTATATCACAATGAAATTTCATCAATTACTTCATATTTTATAACAGAATTATGTATAGGAAATGATTTTAAGAGAAAAAAAAGAAATTGTTAACTTTTTGAAAAAAATTGTTACAAACATATAAAAATCTCCTTAAAAAGCATTATTTTAATTCTAAAAAAGGCGGAAAAAATGGCATTCATTAATCAGAAATGAAATTCGAAAATCGAATATTTTAGAAATTTACAGAAAAAAAATATACGAAACAAATTTATTGTTTCATGACAACAAATACTTTATCAGAAGAAATTGATAATATAATTACACATATGTGTCAGGTGTAGCTATACCTAATTGCTTTTCTCAATAATTTCTATCAATCTTTGTAGTTAATGCTAATTGCACAATTTAATTAAACTTTTATTCATTTAAATTTACCACTTTACAATTAGCAAACATATAATATAATATTTGGTTCACAACTTTAAGCATATTTTTACCTTAATTATTACTACTACTACCTTTGCTTATTTATGCTAATATTATGCAAAATGGAAAGTTTAGTAAATTATCAAAAATATGAAAAAAAATTTTGAAATATTCGACAGTATTCATTGATTTACAATATATACATATATATATATTTGTATATTTATTCATTGATATATATGCGCATAAATTACTTTTCTCAAAATAAGATGAAAGAAATTGATGGGTGGAAATTTTGGTAAAAATAATATTGAAGCTATTTAAATTTGAAAAATTGAATTATTTTGTTATTTACAAGCGCAAAATGCTTATTTTAACACTTTCTTCTTCAACCATCTTTAATCCATATGGTTCCTTTCCTTTTTTTTTTTCTTTTTTCGATAATCATTTCAATTTCCTACCAATTCAATATAATTATCATTTAATTTAATATAATTGTAAAAATTATATATATATATATATGTACGTATATGTATATTTCTTTCGTCTATTGAATTCTTTTCCAATACTAACTGCAAATTTTTCAACCATTTCAATATAATGCATAAAAATTATTTATGTAAAAATTATTTATACAAAACTATTCATGCACAAATATATTTCGATATGCAATATTTACAATAAACTTCAATTTAGCTTGTACTATTAATTAATTTATAGAGTAAAAAGTATGGTAAAAGAAGAATTTTAATATCAAAACTTAATTAAAAATATCTTTTTGTTAAGCCAATAATTTATTTTTGCATCATTTATTTCAATGATTTCATTGAATTTAATGCATTTATTCATTTCCGACTGATAAATGATGCTATTTTTACATATATATAAAG